CCATCCCCGCAAAGTGCATCCCTGCCCGCCTTCCCCTCTCCTTGCGAGTGGTCCCACTTACCCTTCACTGCCAGCATCGCCCTGCCTTTCCCAGTCCCGCTGGCCGCGCTCAGTCTTTAGGTGGTAGCAGGCCAGGTACAGCGGACACTTGCTGATGGGGGATTCCAGGAGATGGGATTTCATGGTAATTTGAGACGGATACAGGACTTGCTGCTTTACATCCTCCCGCTCTGGGGGATTCCCATTTTCACACAGCCTTTCCCACCCGACCTTTATGTTTGCATCATCATCTTGCTTCCTTGGGTAGGTGGGTTCCTGGGTTTTGGGTAGTTTGGAGCTGCTATGGCACCTGTCTAACCTTGTCCCGGGTCCTGAGCTTTGTCCGCAGGCACCTTGGCTCCTGTCCACTAATGCCCAGACCCTTAAGGACTGGGGTTTTGTTCCTGCTGTTGAAAGGAGATACAACATAGACATAGACATGAGAGTGGGAAAATGACAGAACTTGCACATTCTGGGGGATGCCAACAGGCACTTGTTAGGAGCTTTCTTTCTTCTAGGACCCTTTCCCAGGCGTTTAGCTGTTAACGTTCTGCAGGATTGTCCTGGCAAGCATATATCTACTTCATTGGGAGAATACTCAACTTAAGGGTGGATGAATACTGGGCCCAGAGCCATTCTCTATTACTGGCTGACCCTTCCCCAGGTTAAAGGGTCAGATTTCTGGACCCCGAGATTCGGGGCAGACCAGTAGAGACAGTTATTAGGGGAGAAAAGTCAGCCCACCAGGGTAGGGCAGGAAAGCTGGACCATAGCATATGACGCGGTAGATAGATCTGTGCTTTATAATGCAAGGCCTGATTCATTTAGCTCTGTGCTAAGTACCGAGAGCGTAAAAATGATGAACCCATAGTCACTGACAGCTCACAGTCTTGAGAAGGCAGTCACCTAGTTAGATAATATCAGAGTACGTAAAATAGCCCCGAGTAGCTTATCTTTATAACTTTATTTTCCTGCGGCAGTGGCAAATAGCCATCCCTATCCTGAGGGCTAAATTTGTGAGATTGTATCATTAGCCAGGATTAAAGCTCTACTTATGTTTAAGGCCTGGAAAGATCCCCTATGGAGGTCTAGGAGAAACCAAGCTTCGGTATGGGTGGGCCTCTTGCCTGAACCCCTCTTGCTCTTCCTCCAGAATTCCCAGCTCCCGTGGCTTGAGTCTCAGCAAGTGTTCAGTCTGAAGCCCTTCGGGGGCGCCGGGCCGCGCGCGAGTTCGGGGCGCTCACTGCGCGCGACAACTCCGTGGGCAGAGGGGGTTGAGTCAGCCCCGCTGCCGATGAAGCAGCTCCGGGCCGAGCCCCTGAGTCAGAACCGGCCGGTGGAGGCAGCCGGTGCCCCAGTCCGCAGCTTCGTCGCCCCACCGAGGTTCCCAGGGCTGGCGGCTGAGATCTGAGGGGCCCGGACGTGGGGATGTTCAGGGATCCAGGAGGAGGACTTTCACGGGCCATCCAAGCCACCCGCTCCTCTGGAGGAGGCCTCTTCTCTGTGGGCTCCCTCAAGACACCACCCCC